GGGACACCTGGGTGGGGGTGGCAGGGGTGGCCGTCACCAAAAAGGAGGCCAGAGCATCTCCCCGATGGGATGGGACTCGGCCAAAGGGCTGTGATGGGAACAGGGGAGAGCTGCTGCCCCGGAGGCAGGAGTGGCTGTTGCCCGTGGATGCTGCTGGGGTATCCCAGGAAGGTGGGCAACCAGCATTTTGGGTGGGATGAGCCACGCTGGATGCTGCTGGTTGCATTTTTTAATTTTTTTTTGCAACCAGTTACCGGGTTTGGGATGTGCTGACCCCACCAGGCAACCTGGCGAGGGCTCCTGCCGCTGGGAACGTAGCTCCAGCTCGCCCAGTTTGAAGATGAGTGGCTGACAGGGGGCATGGGGAGGAGATGTCATCTGGCCCGGGGATGTTGGTGCTGTGGCTACTGAGGTGTCATCCCCTCGCAGACCCCCTGGGAGGAACCCGAGGGTATTGGGGTGTGGGAAAACCTCTAGAGCATCCCCCAGCCCTCCAGCACCTTTAGCTATTGGGATGCAGGAGAACCTCTAGAGCATCCCCCAGCCTTCCAGCACCTGTGGGTATCGGGGGGCAGTAAAACCTCTAGAGCATCCCCCAGCCCTCCAGCACCTGTGGGTATTGGGGTGCAGGAAAACCTCTAGAACATCCCCCAGCCCTCCAGCACCTTTAGCTATTGGGGTGCAGGAGAACCTCTAGAGCATCCCCCAGCCCTCCAGCACCCTGGGGTATTGGGGTGCAGGAGAACCTCTAGAGCATCCCCCAGCCCTCCAGCACCCACGGGTCCCTTGCTGAGAGCCTCACCTGCAGTGGCTGCCAGCCCCCGCTGCCGGGGACACAGGATGGGGACAGGCCTGTCCCCCGCTCAGCCCGGCCTGCCCTCCCCTCTGCCTTTCCCCGCTCGGTCTTTAGATCCTGCCAGCAAATTCCCACCGAGCCATTTTTAGCTCTGGCCTGGCCCGAGCACCAGCCAAAGGCTCCGAGGAGCCCTTTGTGCTCCTGACAGCCCTGGCCCACTTTGTAAATAAAGCGGGTGCCTGTTCCATGGCTGCGCCCTGACCCCGGGGTCCCCCCCTCCTCAAGCCCCTGCCCCGGGCAGGAGCCCCGGCTGTGGTGGGTACGTGCCCCATCCCTCCCTGGGCACCTCTCCCTCCCTCCCACACCCCGGCTCTGCCAGACACAGGCTCCACCTTCAGCGTGAAAATCACCGAGGGAGAGAAAAAAAATGACAGCAATTTAAAAAAAGAAAAAAAAAAAAAATTTTAAAATAGATAGCACCTTGCTCCGGTCAGGGGTGGCCCAGGGGTGTTTGGGGTGCAGGGTGGCATGTGTGGTGTCCAGATGTGTGTGTTTGGTGTCCAGGTGTGTGTGTATGGTGTCTGGGTGTGTGTGCAGGGCGTCCGGGTGTGCGTGTATGGTGTCCAGGTGTGTGTGCAGGGTGTCTGGCTGTACGTGCAGGGTCTGTGTTTGTGTGTGCAGGGTGTCTGGCTGTACGTGCAGGGTATCTGTGTGTGTGTGTGTGTGCAGGGTGTCCGTGTGTGTGTGTGTGTGTGTGCAGGGTGTCTGGCTGTACATGCAGGGTGTCTGGTTGTGTGTGCAGGGTGTCTGGGTGTATGTGTGTCCGTGTCCGTGTGTGTGTGCAGGGTGTCTGGCTGTATGTGCAGGGTGTCTTGCTGTACCCGGCTCTGCCAGACACAGGCTCCACCTTCAGTGTGAAAATCACCGAGGGAGAGCAAAAAAATAACAGCAATTTAAAAAAAAAAAATTAATTTTAAAATAGATACCACCTTGCTCCGGTCAGGGGTGGCCCAGGGGTGTTTGGGGTGCAGGGTGGCATGTAGGGTGTCCAGGTGTGTGTGTGTATGGTGTCCAGGTGTGCGTGTTTGGTGTCTGGGTGTGTATGCAGGGTGTCTGGTTGTGTGTGCAGGGTGTCTGGCTGTTCATGCAGGGTGTCCATAATAACAGCAATTTAAAAAAAAAAAATTAATTTTAAAATAGATACCACCTTGCTCCGGTCAGGGGTGGCCCAGGGGGGTTTGGGGTGCAGGGTGGCATGTAGGGTGTCCAGGTGTGTGTGTGTATGGTGTCCAGGTGTGCGTGTTTGGTGTCTGGGTGTGTATGCAGGGATGCTGCTGGGGTGGGATGGGTGTCTGGGTGTGTGTGCAGGGTCTGTGTTTGTGTGTGCAGGGTGTCCGTGTGTGTGTGCAGGGTGTCTGGCTGTACATGCAGGGTGTCTGGGTGTGTGTGCAGGGTCTGTGTTTGTGTGTGCAGGGTGTCCGTGTGTGTGTGCAGGGTGTCTGGCTGTACATGCAGGGTATCTGTGTGTGTGTGTGTGCAGGGTGTCCGGGTGTATGTGCGTGTGCAGGGTGTCCAACTGTACATGCAGGGTGTCCATGTGTGTGTGCAGGGTGTCCGTGTGTGTGTGCAGGGTGTCCATGTGTGTGTGCAGGGTGTCAGGCTGTATGTGCAGGGTGTCCATGTGTGTGTGCAGGGTGTCTGGCTGTACATGCAGGGTGTCTGGCTGTACATGCAGTGTGTCTGGCTGTACATGCAGGGTGTCTGGCTGTACGTGCAGGGTGTCCGGCTGTGCACAGAGTCCGTGCACCTCCCTGTGGCAACAACCAGAAACAGGCACCGCAGCTCCAGGCTCCAGCAGCAAGTCGCGGGGGGGACACACACGAGCTCTGCAATAGGGACTTTGCATGTGTGTGTGCAGGGTGTCCGGCTGTACGTGCAGGGTGTCCATGTGTGTGTGTGCAGGGTGTCTGGGTGTACATGCGTGTCTGTGTGTGTGTGCAGGATGTCTGGCTGTACATGGGGGCAGCTCTGGGGGTGGGATGGGCTGTGCTGCAGAGGGGGGGCTGGAAGCAGATGTGCCCCACAAAGAAGCAGCTCTTCCTCTCTGTTATTATTTTTTTTTTTTTAAAGACTGTAAATATAGATAGAGCTTTATTTTGTTAATAAGACGATGAGTAACTTAACCTGTATATTTCACATACTTGTTTACAGTTCTCCCTCCCCCCCCCACCCCTTGGCACAATAAAGATGACTTTTTGGAGCAGAGATCTGGGTCTGGGCTTTGCCAGCCTAGAGCTGGGGACTGGATAGAGAGCTCTCATCCCATGTGGGCACAGCTGGAGCTGTTATTATTTTTTTTTTTTTTAAAGACTGTAAATATAGATAGAGCTTTATTTTGTTAATAAGACGATGAGTAACTTAACCTGTATATTTCACATACTTGTTTACAGTTCTCCCTCCCCCCCCCACCCCTTGGCACAATAAAGATGACTTTTTGGAGCAGAGATCTGGGTCTGGGCTTTGCCAGCCTAGAGCTGGGGACTGGATAGAGAGCTCTCATCCCATGTGGGCACAGCTGGAGGGTGCTTGTCCCCCCCTTTCCCTGCCCATCTCCCAGCACAGCCCCCTCCTAAGGCTCCTGCTCCCTGTGATGATTTCACCCATGATGTTCCTCAGCTCTTTCTCCTGCCCTGTCTGTCCTTGATGGGTCTATTGTGGGTCCTGGGCTGCTCCTCTCTCCTCCCCACCTCTCACTTGTGTTTTGTTGAGGTCTCACCCCACATGGCAGCAGGTTTGGGGTTCAGCATCCTCTGCCCCCTGCAGCCAACCTGCCTTTGCCAGAGCTGGAGCCCAGCAGGGACATGGAGGGGGGACCACGACGAAGATGTGGGATCAGCCTTCAGCTCCCCAAAAAGCTGTTCCAGAGCACAGGAAGGACCAAGGACTGCTCAGGGACAAGGACAAGCCCCAGCAGGGAAGGGGCAGCGAGTGCTGCCTGCAACCCCCCGAAGGAAGGGAGGTCAGGAGCGTGGAGGGGGGGGACACAGCAGCAGCCTACCCCGTCAGGAAAAGCCTCTGCCAGTATCTCTGCTCCTGGTCCAGCTGCAGGAGAGGGGCTCAGCGCACCCCCAGCTCCCAGGGGTGCTGCCCCCCCTCCAGCACACGTCCAGCACCAACTGTACATGCAGGGTGTCTGGCTGTATGTGCAGGGTGTCTGGCTGTGCACAGAGTCCGTGCACCTCCCTGTGGCAACAACCAGAAACAGGCACCGCAGCTCCAGGCTCCAGCAGCAAGTCGCGGGGGGGACACACACGAGCTCTGCAATAGGGACTTTGCAGCAGACCCATGTCCTCAGCCCCAGGG